AGAGTCTGTGGTATTTGAACCAAGACCCACCTTCTCCCTCCCACCCCCTCCCAGTTCAAACAGGTGCAGACAAGAGCATGTGCAGGACAGAAGGCTGTCTTCCCTGGAGAAGAGCATCCTGCCCCTAGCACTGTCGCTAAAACTAAGTCCCAGGTGAGGGCAGCGGAGAGGTAGGGCTTTCTCCTGCGGCCCAGCCCCCACGGGTGGGCGTGGGGCTCTGCACTGAGAGTGAGGTGGCTGAAAACACTGGGGCTACAATTTCCTCTTGCCCCAGCTCATAGGCAGGGAATTCCCACCAGGAGAGGCCAGCCCAGGAGGCCAGGGCTGCTGCCCCCTCCCCTTCCCCACTGAGCATTCAGTTCCCAGCATGGAGGTGACTCACAGACAGACACACATCATTGTCCTGGCCCACAGCACCAGGTCCTTGGCTCTGAGACTTCCCTTACAGAGGATGAGGCCAAACCCCTCCCTAAAGAAACTGACTCCATTTGCAGCCCAGTGTGGAGGGATTCAAGCTCCAAGGTGCTCTCAAAAACAGAGGAAGCAGTGACGACAGGCATCTGGAGGGAGATGAATAGAGTCATTGAAGATTCGGCTAAACTGCAGGCTGGCTAATTTGTTAGAGAAAGGGGAAAAGAGCTGTGAGAAAACCTCCTTGGGTCAGAACAAATCTCAAACGCTGACCTCAGGGACTATCCCCACAAAAACACGTGGATTTTATTGGATTCCACTATAAAGCACTGCATGTCCTGGGCCATTGTTGAAAACAATACCGCAGCCAGCCCGGCTGGTGTGGCTCAGTGGTTGAGCCTATGAACTGGCTGGACTACTTCAGTGAAGCCTCTCCACACCTCACAGTGTGAAGCCTCTGGTGTTGCACCCCAAGGTGTGCCCACGGACCACGTGTGGCCTGTGTGGCAGTGGTCTGGGCTGGGCTCTCTTTGGCTTTTTCTCCAACACCCACCCAGTTGTTAAGCTCCACGAATTCCTGCCTGCTTGCTTTATTGTCTTTTGTCGTTGTTGTTTGTGTGTTTCTAAAATATATTTTTATTGATTTCAGAGAGAGGAAAGGAGAGGGATAGAGAGATAGAAACATCAATGAGAGAGAAACAGCTATTGGCTGCCTCCTGAATGCCCCTGATTGGAGATCTACCCGGCAATTTACAATAGTAAATTTTATGTTACGGGTTTTTTACCACAATTTAAAAAATAGTGTTCCCTGCTCTAGCTAGTTTTGCTCAGTGGCTAGAGCGTTGGCCTGGGGACTGAAGGGTCCCTGGTTCGATTCCGGTCAGGGGTACATGCCCGGGTTGTGGGCTCTATCCTTAGTGTGGGGTGTGCATGGGGCAACCAATCAATGATTCTCTCTCATCATTGATGTTTCTATCTCTCTATCCCTCTCTCTTCCTCTTTGAAATCAATAAAGATATATACATATATTTTAATAGTGTCCCTGATAAAATAGGCAGTGAAGTAAGAAGCACGAGATATCACTCCAGCTCCACCACACAAGTGCTTCTCCTCAGGATAACCTCCAAACTCAGCATATTCATATTCACACGCAGAACTGAGCTGACAGGCACTACTGAGGGGAGGCAGTTTAATTAAATTGATAATTTTTACTCTCCTAACGACAGAGATTTAGTGCGCTGGGTAAATTAAAGGCGACGTTATAATTGTTTTTTAATAGTAACGTGCATGAGGCAGGTGTTGTATTTTATTGGTTTACCATTCTGACACCAGATTCTAACACAGAGTCGGAACTTGGTCCAGAATTCCATGAGAAGTCACCGAAGGGTTCTCCCAGGAGCGGTTTGCACTTTTAAAAGAGCCCTGGGTGCTGTGCGGAGACAGGGATGTGGGGGGAAGGAAATCTGGAGATCCCTAGGGGACAGGTGCAGGGTCCTGGCCAGGGCTGGCTAAGGTGGTTTGGACTAAAATGGGGGAACTTCCAAATGCCCAGGATAATCATTTGCTCTAGCTTAGGTCAGGGGTCTATGAAGTGGCCGGGAGGGACATGACATAGCTTGGCATCCGGGGGCTGCCCGTGGTGAGAGAGGTGATGCTAGAGAACTGAGAAGGGACTGGGGATGAGCAGGCACCTCAACAGCAGTCTGGACTGTGAGGCCAGCGCACTCGAGCTCCCTTCTGAGCGATAACCAGAAGCTGGCTTGGCCCGCTGTCCTTTGCTTGCTTTTGTCCCTAAAGGTGGGTCCACCCCCTAATACTCCCATGGTTAGAAGTCCTTGCTGACCCTCCTTTGTGCCCTGGTCCCACCCTCTCTCTTCTCAAGGCCTTACCTGTACTGTTCCCGGTGACGTCCTGCACCATCAGCCATGCCTATCAGCCTGCAAACACCTTAAACCCAGACCCCACCCTGAACTCCACCTGGCCTCCGGCTCTGCCCCATTTGTCTCCAGCCCTTTACAGCAAACCCGTAACAAAGCTGTGCGTATATGCTGACATCGCATCCCCAGCGCCCACTCCAGTGGGGTGTTGTCCCCTCCTAGCCCTAGAAACGGCTCTTATCAAGGTCACCAAGACCCAAAGGCACCCAGAACCATTGGCCAGTCCTCTGCCCATCTCCCAGCAGCGCTGGACAGGGTGGGCCACTCCTTTGTCCCTGAAACATTTTGTCCTCTTGGCTCCTTGGCTCTGCGCCTGGTTCCCCCATGTCTCACTGGCTCCACCTCCTCCACCACCCAGGCCTCCTCGTGTTGACTGGTTGGTCTGTCCTCAGACACTGGCTTTATCCGCCTGCACTCACTGTAGGCCAGCGATTTTCAACTTGTGTGTCGCAAAATTTTAAAACATGCAACACCTATTAGGTCAGGGGCACGGACCTCTTTTCCCTCAGATGGTCAAACTAAAAAACAGCCCAGCCATTGTGGCTCACTGGTGGAGCGTCGGCCCATGGACCCGGTGGTCACGGCTCGCTTCCCAGTCGGGGCACATGCCTGGGTTTCAGGCTCAATCTCCAGTGGGGGACGCACAGGATGCAGCCATACATGATTCTCTCTCATCACTGATGTTTCTATCTCTCTCTCTCCCTCTCTCTGAAGTCAATAAAAACATCTATTTTTTTAATGAAAACAGCCATCACAACATAGCTGTCCAATGTGAATAAATCAGTTATACCTATCTTGAGAGAAATATATGCTTTTGGGTGTGTGGCAGAATTTTAATAACTGTTTATGTGAGCCATGGGATAGAAAGGTTGGGAATCACTGCTCTAGGCCATCGCATCCAATTCCAGGACTTCAAAGGTGGATCTTGGCCCAGTCGCCCCTCCCCGTCTAAGTGGTCTGTTTGACCTCTCTACCTGGATATCTGCTAGATGAGCTTCACGTGGAGGGAATTCTTCATTATTCCCTCCAAACGCACCCATCCAGATGTCATCCCCACCTCTGGAAATGTCACCACCATCTATCCATTTGTTAAGGCCAACTTACTACAAATGGTAATACATACATGCAGAAGGTGTGTGTGTGTGTGTGTGTGTGTGTGTGTGTGTGTGTGTGTTTGAACCCTGGCGGATGCACCGGTGCTCTTTGTGTGGCCAGGATGCGGATGCACCGGTGCTCTTTGTGTGGCCAGGATCTGTGGGAAACTGTTTGTTGCCTTCACTATCTGATAAGCGTAGACAGAGAAACCCAGAGAAACCCCGAAGGCTGGGTGCCTTTGAAGCCCTAGCAAAGGTCGGAGCTAGGTGCCACCTCTGTTTGTCCAGACAGTGGTAGCTGAAACTACTCCCCCATTTATTATTATGTAAATCCTTGCTGATGGGCTAGTCTGCCCATTGCCAGGGGTCACCTGCCTAAGGGCTATGCTATGGGTGTATCCCAAATGAATAAAAGCTTGGTGAGGCCTGAGCACAGGTGGAAGTCCTTCCCCTTGAGTTGGACTTGCCCTCCTGGTCCCCCAATATTTCCAATTATCTCTTGTCTTTTCATTTTCATTTGTGTGCGGCTCTGCTTCCAGTTCCTGAACCCTGACCCACACAGGACGTGGGAAGGAAACACTCAACAAGGATCCACTTCCCCTTCTTCTGGCAACAACCTCTTTCCAGACGTTCATGTCCATCTCAACCAAATGGTCAGGGCCACGTGGACCCACCTCAGCCCAGGAGTGTGCCTTGACGTGTCTTATGCTGCTCAGTGAACCCCAGACCGCTGGGTAGAGTGATGGGTTCCAGGGGGCGCCCGGCCCTCAGGGCTGAGGAGAGCTGCTGTGGAGAAGCAGGCGGGGCTCCTGGGAAAGGCACTTCCTTGCTCTTCCCAGGAAGCTACTGGATGAGGAGCTGCCACGGGACTCCCCCCACCCGCCCCAACGCATGACATGTGCACAGATGGACCATCTGAGCCTGGTACGGCCATTTCCACTATCAAGAAGGAAGGTAGCCTGAGGTCAGCTTGACTACGTGGAGGGACCCAGGGCTGGAGCTCGGGGGAAGCCACACCTTTCTGGATCATTCTGTGCCAGAAGCCCTCTGTGGACAGGTTAATTCAGCAGAAAGATTACCTTTATATTTAAGTCAGAGTGACTAAAGCTTCTGTTGCTCAAAATCAAAGGAATCCTAAATAATACGCTCTCCCAACAGCAGCAGGCGGCTGGCTGCCCAAAGGAGAAGGGTGGTTTCTGCTCCTTAGGGCCAGCGGAACTCTCCCTGGGGCCCTGCTGGTGTCCCCGCCCACTCTGGAAGCTTCTGGGGTACACTGGCCGAGGACCCCAGTCGCTGTAGCAACGGTGGCTCTAGTGTGTGCTTGATCAGTGTTTCATGATCACATGTGTGAGAGTTGCTAAGGTTGCCGTGTCCACCACTTAATCCCCAGCACGTAAATCAGTGTGGGGGCCACAGATCACACCTTTACTGAATGAATGGATGAGTCACCCTGACATGCCTCCACCCATCCCACCCCCCACACCCACCCCACAAAACACCAAAGGAAACAAGCTGCCTGAAATCACGCACATTTTATTCTCCGGAACAGCGTGGGGGGGAGGGGTTCTGGTGGGAGGCAGGAGGAGGGAGGTGAGAGAAACTGGAGGCTGACTCCAGATTTAGGAAGGAAGGAGGGGCCAGGAGCCAGGGCCGGAGTTCTTGTGCTTTCTCCCCAGGGTGGAGCCAGAGGCTCACAGGAGACCTAGAATGGAGAGGAGAGACAGCTGTGGGGTGTGTGGGGTCTACAGGGAAACGGGGACTCAGAGCCACCTGTTGCTGCTGAGCACACCAGAGCCACATCCTGGAAGCCAGTAGGAGACCATGTGGGTTGTGGGGCCTTGAAGATAAAAGCCACAGGATCTAATGACAGGAAGCGATGAGGGCTGACCACACACTAAGGGGCGACCCTGTATCTGCAGCATCAGAGCCCAAAGCATCCCTGAGGCTAGAGAAGCTGCCAGGGCCAGTCATAGGCCCCCTCCAGCCCCACCTGTTCTCTCTGGGCAGAGCCTGGGAAGTGCTGGGAAAGGGGCTGGGGGAGCCCTCCCTGCCCAGCAGGATTCCCCAGCCCAGCTCTCAGGCCCCCAGGGTCATGGGGAAGGATGTGGCCTCGGCTCCCATCCCCAAAGTTCTGGGCTGGGCTGGGGACTGGAGTTGATCGGGGCTCTGATGTCTCTGAAATATCTCAGTCCCAGGGCATTTCCTGGTGGTTAAGCTCTTTATCTCATTCATCCTCATTCCAAACTCAGAAATAGGGATTATTACCCCCCGCCCCCCGCCTTCAAAGATAAGGAACCTGGAGCCCAGAGAGGGTATGTTCTTGCCCAGGGTCACACA